GTTCGCAATCCACCTCATGGTCCCATCATCTGTCCTGCCTTTCCTGAGTTTACCTATGAGGATGTTATGGGGGACAGTATCAAAAGGCTTGCTGAAGTCGAGGTATATGACATCCACTGCTCAGTAGGAGACCTACTTGCTGTTTTGAAATTTGAGGGAACGTTTCTTGAGATCATCTTGGGATGAACTTTGAATTTTAACAGAAACAAACCCAAGGAGTGGGACAGGTCTGAACATAATGGGAACATCCCCTGCCTGGAGGAGTGGCTGCCACGAAAAGCTGAAAAATTTTTCTCTGCTGGAGTTCGCTGGAGCATCTCTCACTTTTTCAGAGGGAATATGCTAAATATTAACATTTAGAGATTATGCACTTGTTCAGGGCAATTACAGAAAAGCTTGACTTTTAGAAAGATACATTTTTTAAAATAAAACAGTATTCTTCCAGAGAGAATTGATGGAACTAATGTTACTTAGGACTTGCCTAGCTTTAGAGTAGTGAGGAGTACTGCTTTTAAGAGTAGTTAAAACCAACAAAATCTGCTGTTTGCCTCATCTTGCAAAAAGGTGGAAGAAAAGGAGATGCAATCTCGATGCAGGAAAATATATGGAGAAATTGGAGCTTTCGTTGTCTAGTGTGTAGTGGGTTTAGACAAGGTGCCAAGGACAAGCTTGTAGTGTAGGACTGCCAAAAACTTTGGGTCCCATCTTCGGGTTAACTTCAGTGTGGGTTACACAACCGACTGTTTGCCACGCAACCTACTGCTGAAGAGGCTGAGTGTCTTGCAAGTGGGAGTTGTTCTGTAGAAAATAATAGGGTTTCATCCCCTCTGACACCCTTACCATACCCTTCCCTTGTTTGTCCAAATTACTCGTTCTCACTTCAGAAGCAATCTGGTACAGATATTTTTGAGTGGGTCTGAGAAAGATGATATGGTTGTAGTGAGGAAGCGTGGCTGGTTAGAGTATATGCTTTCCTCCATCCATTTGATTTTGACTTGAAAATTATTTTAAATTGTAAAAAATTATGAGTGTGATTTTATTTGCATCTGAAATACGCAGCTTAAGGAGATACTGAGAATAAGACTGGAAGGGTGGCATTTTTATTTGTCTTTTCTCCTGCTTTTACATATATTTTTCCTTCCTCCTGATGGTACCAGTTTTAAGCTGGTGCCGCACAGGCAATTTCAGATATTTATACTCTATGTATTTTCTTACTGCAATTCAAGAAGACAGTTTCTGCTAAAACTTTTTGAAAAATACACTGTGTATATTCGTATCTTCCTTCATATCCTGTCTTCCCTTACTTATGTGAAGAGATGTGTGTATATTTCTCTGACAAACCTGGTCAAAACTGATTAAGTTCATCAAGACTCTGTGACGAAGTAAGCTTTTCTTCTAAATACTGTTTCTCTTGCCGAGTCATCTTTTTTTGGCTGAAGTCACTGAGGCTGCTGTTATTTAAACACCATTTTATGCTAGACAGTACAAGCTCTTCTGAGCTGAATTGGGACATTTTCCTTCACTGCTTAGGAAATGTGGTGTGTTTGAGCATGAAAAATGAAGAAAATATGAGATATAGAAAGTATTTCTGTACTGATAGTGGTAAAGCAACACTCTTGACATGGTTATAAACGAACATAAAAATGCTTCACAGTCCTTGAAAAAGCAAGATGAGTGACAGATGTGTAAACCCAGCCTGTTACTGCACTGTAGCTGGCTTCGGTTTGTGCTATCAGAGCTTAATATGGTACTTAGATCTTTTAATGAATATTTTAAGCCTATAATCTCTGCTGGTGTAGGGTAGAGGAAGAGAATCCTGTTGCTGTTCCATCCAGTTTTTATCTAAGTGCTGAAATACTGCTTTTAAAATGTGGCACGGTGTATATATAAGTGGGTAGTAAACTTATAATTGATACATCAGTTGACTAAAAGTCAAAACTCCTAAAGAGAAGGTACTAATTGCCACTAATTCTGGAAAAAGTTTTGCTGTCAACTGTCTTACACGTCTGTGCCATCTGCCTGTACTGTGCTGACGTAGTCAGGCCTAACAGCATTGAAGCTGTAAAGAAGGAAGAGAGAGCTGTTGGTTGTTGGTCAGTGACCACAGATTCTGCCTGTAGATTTTATTAAGACAACAACAGAAACATGCACACAAACAAAGCAAAACAAAAACAAAACACAGAACAACAGAGCAAAAGCAAAGATAAAAAACCCACAAGCATGCACTATTTTCCCAGACTTTAATTTATCTCTCTGTTGATATTGCAGTAATTTCATCCTTATTACTCTGTTTTAGGTTGCCTGAAGCTCAGCAGAGAGTTGGAGGATGTTTTCTAAATTTGATGCCACAAATGAAAAACTTGTACCTTACATACTGTGCCAACCATCCATCAGCAGTTAATGTTCTCACAGAACACAGGTACGTTTACTTTGTGATCTTCTGAGTCTGATACAAAAAATGTGCTTAAAATACACTTGTGGTGCAAAGCTCTGATGTAGCTTTTGACACACATTTGGTATGGTAGAGCTTGTTTAAGAAAAAAAAAAGCAGTGTATTTATTAAAATAATAATCTCAGAGAACAGAGCTCTTCTACGTGGTCAGAACTAAGTTGTCACTTTTGGCAGTGCGTTATCAACTATTTGAGAGCATTTTCTCATTTGAAGAACACATATGAAAAACAAAGTGCTGATTGTCATCAGTGTTTAAAAAATGTCAAGATCAAAACAAATCTGAAATTGTCACATAATTGGCATAATTACTAGGAGACAGCTGGTGAATTGTAGTTTAGCCCTGTCAAAGCCCATACATTTGTATATACTTAACTTTATAATGGTATACCTTTAGCTTTACTTCTGAGTGATGTGAAAGGAGCGTGGGCTTCTCAAGTTTACAAGTTCAGTATTTCCCGTGTGTGAGGAGTAGGATGCTGAGTTAACATGGTGGAGGTTGTGTAGCTTTGGGACTGACCTTGAATTTGTGTAGAAGATGCCCTGTACCACCTTGTGGGAAGAGAGTTGAGGCCAGAAATGGATTAAAGAAGTCTGCTTTTACAAACCTGTCCAATGTATATGCTTAATGATCACAGTCTGCAGCAGCTGTTAGTTTGGGGCTGTTGATGTTTCTTTATGGTGCAGGACAGAGCTGTGACCTTCTCTTGAAGGTCAGAAATGGGACAAATTCTAGCAGTGTATCTGTGTTTTCTTCTTTTTCCCACCTTTTTTTCCTCTTCTTTTGGTGGACTAAATAAAGATGTTTTCAATATTTTTAACACTTCCTAAATGAAGAGGAACATGATTGCTTTGCTTTCTATAATATTAGTTTCTTCCAAGAACTCACATTTAGTTTTATGAGCCACAACATGTGGCTGTGAGCTTTACTCATAATGGTATAAAACCCCAAACCTTCTAGCTGTCCGATACTATGAACTATGACATTTTAAAACATGTAACTATGTTCCAATCCCACTTTGAAAAATCAAACTGCAAATACTCATTTCAATATAGACTGAAGGAAGGTGGTTTTTTCAGGAATGAATTAATCAAGACAAAATATGTTTAAGCCCTCCTGATGAAACCCCTTAGTGTTTGCTTTATTTCAAATGGCCTACTCCTAGTACTACTTTCTGTAAATGGTGAAATGTTTAAGTGATCCAAGCCTATGAGGTTTTTAATACTCCTAGGCTTAGGTTTTTTGTTTGCTTGTGCTTTTATGCTCTTTCCATACAGGATCTCAGATTTAATCTATAGATGAAAGGTAGCAAAGCAATCATCTACATTTCTTAAGATTTGGAGATATCTGTAAAGGATTATGCTCTGTCAGAACTCTTGGAAAGCACGGGGAGTGGAGTAACCGTGTCTGAGAAACTGTGATAAAAATGCAAAGGAGGAAAACTGTTCGTTCTGCAAATGGAGAAGAAAAGCATTTCTTCTCCTCTGTGTTGCTTTGCACACAGGTTATCCTAAGAAAAGTTCAATTCTAGTCTGTAAAGTCAGCTTGATATCAAATTCTAGTGGAGTCAATGTAAGCATCATAGAGCAGTTAAGTAATTTGGATGTGGAAGTAGATTCAAAGCAATTGTATTGTTCCTAAGAGAGAGCTCGAGGGGAGGTAAGCTGTGATAAACAACTTTCTGTTTAATGCTCTTGTGTTGCCAGGCATGAGTCAACAGAAGTGAATCCTGTTTTTTTTTTAATTACCCATATTTTATTATTCTAAGCCCTTCATTGCTGTAGGTAGCAAGTGGTTTAACTAAAAATTCTGCTTGAGATGGCTGCCATGAAGATTGGAAGGTGACTTTAAGCAGTTCTTTAAGCAGTTTTAGCAGGACGTTTTCTTCTCAGAATGCTGGAGAGCTTTTACTTACATTGTTTTAAAAGTAGTGGAAAAGAGAAGAGTAACAACTGATGAAAGGCATGAAGAAAAGAGAAATACTCTGAACTATCTCCTTGTCTGTGCAGCTGGCAAGGTTTTAGTGTGTAAAAGCATCCTTCATAAAGCTTAATGTAAAAATTACTGTGAGGTTTGAGGGTGTTCATGATTGTAGTAATCATGAAACAAGTACCCTGCAGTTAACACGAGGTAGTATTTAACTGAATTTTGTCAGAGATGTCAAAGACCAAGGTTTAAGACTTTTAAGAAACAGCATTGATTTGTTGGCTGTTTTTGAGGTATATTTTTTTTTTTAGCAGGCCCATGTTTTAATGCCAGCAAAAAGATGGCAGAAAAATAGATGTTTACTGAGTTCTTGGATTTGAGTATCATGTTTGTAACAGCTATGCTGTTCAGTAGTGTTTTAGAGAGAGGAATGAGGAACAGTCTGGAGTGGTTTGATTTGACGCATAAATTCTTACTGTCTACAGCAGATTATTTCTTGCCATGAGCTCTGTGCACTTCATAAACCGAACACATGCATTAGCTGTGCTTCTGAAAGCTTTTCTACCAAAAAAAATAGCAGATAATTTTAAGTCGGATTCTTATATCACAAAAATAGTATTTTTTGCAGTTTATAAGTTCATTTGCTTTTGGTGGGAACCTTACAAACAAACAAAAAGAAACAAAAAATCTTAGGAGATAATTACTTTAGGTGAAACTTCAGAAACATTTCCTCTATTTTTTTTATTCTATAAAATAAATAGTTTTATTATTACGGTTTTACTGTCACTGACTAAAAACGACTTGAAAGAAATCTGCAATCATTTTTAAGCATTAACTCTTTAACCAGTTGGATCACTGTAACAACAAAATGGTAAGCAGTCATCTGGTTTGATGGATTGGTACATAGGAGGTTTTTATATGTAATTTTCTGAAGTATAAAGCATGTTCTTCAAGCAATGGTGTAGTACCTGGTAAAATGTTGACACCCAGTAAAGTCTCTATGTGTGTGTGTGTGTGTGTGTGTGTGTGTGTGTGTATGCATATGCATAGATAAAACCTGACGATAGTCATTTACACAGAATCATTTTGGACATCTAGTCAAAAGATGCTTTTTTGAACAGCAGTTTTGTGAAGTCTGTAATTAGCAGTATTTGGGATGAGGCTGGAGACTTTTAAAAGAGGCATTCATTTGGAATGGGACCTTTTTTTTTTTAGTGCAATTCATTATGAATGCCAGCCTGTTTCTCTTTGTCATTTACTTCTTGATCACATATAGCAGCAACATGGGGGCTTTTATTCAGTTAGTACAAAATAAGGGGGATTGTGCATATATATGTTCATATATGTGTGTGTTTCATATGAATACACAGTTGGGGGCGAAGGGCGTTAATTACATTGCTTAATGAATAGAGATTTTTCATGTTTAGATCTTCAAAGCCGCAAACATCTTTCATTTCCTCAATTATTAATAGTTGAACCACTGAAATGAATATCACTAGAGACCTCGGTGTATATGAATATCTGGAAATAGGAATAAAACCTAACGCAGCCCATATAGGAGTTCAGGTTCCAGAGCTCCATGTTTCTGAGGTTGTATTTGCCTCTGATACTCACAGCACAAACCAACAACAAAAGAATTCTGTTAAGTTTGGAACACATTCCAGATGTGGTACTGTAAGTTTCCTCCAGATGTTAGAGTTGTACTCTGTATCATTTCATAGAGTCATGGAAGGTGTTGGGTTGAAAGGGACTTTTAAAGGTCATGTAGTCCAACCCGCTGCAGTGAGCAGGGGCATCTTTAACTAGATCAGGTTGCTCAGAGCCCCATCAAGCCTGACCTTGAATGTCTCCAGGGATGGAGCCCCCACCACCTCTCTGGGCAACCTGTGCCAGTGTTTCACCCCACTCATAGTGAAGAATTTTACCTGGTCTTGAAATTTGGTAGGAGCTTTGTCTCAGGAATTGTTTAGGAGCCGTTGTGTATTTTTCTTTTCCTGAATTAAAATTCTTTGTGTAAGGAATTAAGAGATTTTTAAGAGTTGTTTTTCCTTAGGTCAGTGTTTGTGTCTTGTAATTGTGTCTTAAGCCACTGACTGGAGCTGAAGAGGTGGAGCTCACCAGGTACAGGTGGGAGGTACCTCTTGCAGAGATCAATGTTTTCTGTGGTTCCACTCCCCACTGTAGCTTGTTCTCCTTGTTCCCTTCTCTTGTTGTGGCTACAGTGGCACTGCACGCCATCCTTATTTTATATACTTCATTCTATAACAGCCACACCATAACAGGTTGCGTTGCATGAGGATTCCATTTCTACTATCCCTTTCCTTTTTTCTTGCGAATCTGAGTTCAGGTCCAAAGGTAGGTGATCCAATACAATACGGTGCTATTTCAGGAAACAATTTTGCTAGTGAGAGCAGGACTGCCTTGGGGGCGTAGTGTTTAGTCAAAGTAGCGTTGTTTGCCGTGGGTGCTGATCGCAGACATATGCTTGCTTTCCAGCAAGAGAAGAAACAAGATGAGCAACCTAAGGCGTGAAAGAATCAATTTCCCTCAAATACATTGAAAAAAAACTCCAGTTGGTTACAAAGTACAGAAATGGATAATTGCAGTGCAGTAGGGAATCCCAGGGCTGTAACATCTTACCTGCCCAAGGAAGACCATAAGGCATAAAATTCAGTGCCAGGGAAAATTCCAGCGAAGAAGAAGAGGAGGCAGAAGCTAGGACTGGGGTTTTATGTACTTGTATACAAGAAAAAGGCTGCTTGAGTATAGACCTCACTGAAGAATAGATAATATAATGAGAAAAACAAACAAACAAAAAGTCTAACAAGCCACAGTGATCAGTGGACATAACGCTCTTCTGAAGGAATACGGAGAGTACAGACCCAGTGTAATCAGCATTAATTATTGGGGTGGGAGGGTGTTAAGCTTGCTTTACTTTGTTTAAATGACACCATGTTTATTTCAAAGCAAAATGGAGGAAAAAAATGTTCTCCAAAAGAAAATTTTAATTTGATGAGTAGGCAGCCAAAAATTAGTAATATAT